AGCGCGGGGCGGGTGGGCGGCGGGCGGCTGCGGTGGCGGCCGGATGCTTCGCCTCTACCTGGGGCGCCGGGTCCCACCGGGGCCGCTCTCTGACGGGCGCTCGCTTCTCCTCCTCCCAGACCTACGTCGGGGATATTCTGGTGGCCGTGAACCCCTTCCAGCGCCTGCCGCTCTACGGGAAGCCGGTCAGTGCCGGGTTTGGGGCCCCTCGTGTGGTCAGGCTGGGCTGGCTCGGCCCTTCCCCCAGCAGAGTCCCTCGCGGACTGTGGCTAGCTGGGCTTTCCCGCAGCCCACGTCCGGCTCTTTCTCATCACATAGCTGGTCTGCGTGCTCTGTTTCCGGGCGCTTCCCCTGGCTCTACAAGCTGTTCCTCATACCTGAAACCAGCAGTGCAGGAGGACCTGAGCCTCCTCCCAGCAGCAGCCAGCAGCCAGCCCAGTCTTCTAGCTCCTCGTCCTAGGGGCCGGGATGGGCCTGGGGGCAGGTTGTTCCAAGGCAGCTCCTGGTCTGGAGCTTTTTGTGCCTGGAAAATGCAGTCAGCAAGAGCCATCCTCCTACACATCTTCTTGGTGCCGGGAGGAGGGCGGCAGGAAGGAGAGGACTCGGCCCTGCTCCCTCCCTCATGGTTCTGACATTTCTTGTTAATTGGGCTCTGCCCCTGTCTGCAGATTGCTGAGAAGTACCGGAGCCGTGCCAAGGGCAGCCTGCCCCCCCACATCTTTGCTGTGGCTGACCGAGCCTACCAGGCTATGCTGGGGCGCCTGGGGATGGGGCCCCAGAACCAGTGCATTGTCATCAGGTAGGGGAGAATATCTACAGGGCCCCTGAGCTGGGTCCAAGCAGTCTTGACAGACCTGTGGCCCAGAACTAGGGACTGACGAGGGGAAGCTGGCACATATAAGGGGGGGCTGAACGTAGAAGCCATGCGGAGGTTGAAGCCATGGACTGACCTGGGACAGGCTGTGGCATGTAAAACACATTGGTGCTCCAGAAGACTCTGTGCTGAGTCCTGCAGGGATGTAGCGGTTGGGGAGCCCTCGACCCTGCAGTGCTGGGCCATACAAACCTCAGTTGCTTGTAAGCTGAGCATGTTTGCTGCTGGGCACAGGAGAAAAATGGTGAGGCCACAAGAACACATCTACTCCTTGTGGTGCTGCTAAGGGCAAAGACAGAGCAGCACCTTGGAGCCCCCCTACTTTCACCAGAACACATCCCTGCAGTGGATGTGGGGCAAGATCTGCTTGTGAAGGAGGGGACAGCTGGCAGCGCCCGGCGCACAGGGTGTGCTCAGTGTGATGGGGTGCTTCTGGAAGGATCACTTGCTCCTGGCTAGGAGCTGGGGACTCTAGACATTACCCCTCCCTCCACCCCACTACGGGGTGTTACCCTGGGGACAGGTCATGCTCTTCCCACCCCGGGCTGGGAAGAATTCCTCAGTGACAGGGTGTTACGCTGCCTTTCTGGGAGTGGGGCACATGGGGCTCAGTACCTGCAGGACCTGTCAGCCAGTGCATGGAGCAGGAGGGTGCCAGTGTGGGCAGTGCCAAAAGGACCCTGGAGCTGTGCTATAAACAGGGACCATCATGGGGTGCCGGGGAAGGAGAGGCAGGAGCACGAAGGCATGAGGGACAGAACAGCCGAGTCCTGGCGCCAGTGAAACTTCTTCTCTCTCTGAGCAGCGGAGAGAGCGGTGCAGGGAAGACAGAGAACACAAAGCTCCTACTGCAGCACCTCATGAGCTTGTGCAGGGGCCACTCACAGCTGGAGCAGCAGATTCTGCAGGTGCGTTGTTTCATGGCGAGGCTGGGTGCAGGGGCAGGGACCCAAGGGGGTGGGGTGGGCAGATGGGGTTGCTGGCATCTGAACAATAGCACAGAAGTGATAGTGGCCAGGGCCTCATCCATGAGGCAGAACAGGTTGGAGGGGTCGGTAAACATCTCTGTTCTGTGTTTGGGAAGAAGCAGGAGGACTCCTGGATTATATGAGGCCAGAAGGGGCACGTGATAGCGGTCATAGGGCTGTGGATTCATTCCTGTTGAAGCAGAGCCCAGGTTTTAGAGAAGTGGCCAGTTTTGCTGTTGCTAAAAGTCCCCAGAGATGGGAAATCAACCGCAGCTGAGCAAGGGGGGTGGGGGGGGGAGGCGGGGAAAAGTGGCTTTAGTAGCCAATTACTCTATTACTCTCTTTGTCAAACATCTAAGCCTTGTTTCTTGTCCAGTGGAAAGCTGGACTTTGATCAAGTTACTCCTTCACCTTCCTTGAACTGAACAGAGCGTACTCCTGCAGTCTCTCGCTATGAGGCCTCTTCTAATCCTTTTGTCAGTCTCCTGGCTCTTTTTTGAATGCTTTCCACTTTATTACTATGCTCCTCACTCTGGGGGCGCTAGGACTGTACACAGGATTCCAGTAGTTGTGTCACTGTTATCAAATACAGGATTAATAGCCCCCCCACTCCTACCCAAGTTTCTCTTGTGTCAGGCATCCCAGAGTCGCATTAGCCCTGCACACTGGCTTTGCCCTGGTAGTTTGTGCAGCTGGTATTCACTGCAGACCCTGAGTCACTTTCAAGTCCCCCCTCAGAGTTATTGCTTCCCAGGCCACAGCCACATCTAAGCCTGGCCCATACTCTTTGTTCCTTCCTGTGTAACTTTACCTTTGGGCCAGACAGAAACAAGGCTCGCTCACTCAGCTTGCCAAGTGATTCAGACCATGACAGATTGGGCATCTGTCAGCTTCCTTATTACTATACTCCACACCCTTAATCTTTCTTATCTGCAAACTTTATTAGGGATGACTGCATGTTTTCTGCCAGCTCATAGATAACAAGAGAGTTAAGTGGCATAGGGTCTTTGTGGGAAACACCTGCTCAGGAAGGATTCCTTGTTTAGGTACATTTTAAGAGCTGTTAAATAGCCTTTGGATGGGTCTATTTGCTGTCTCTCTTTCAGTCTTTGACCTGATCCTCCATCTTTGTCCCTTCCAGCCTTTGTCATAGTTCTCCTCTTGCCTCAACTGCTGTGCCTTGATGTTAAAGAAATAATAAGAATAGGGAGGGTCAGCACTCATGTTTTTCTGTACTGGAATTTACATGCATCACGGCCTCATCCACAGGGCTCTGCCACCCTTATACCCTGTCCTCATCACATTGGTTAGGTCAATGTTGAACCTCTTTGTCAGGATGCCATATTCTGTGAGCAACTTGCCTGACTCATTCTGCACTCTCAGTTCACCTTCACCTGGGTACTTCCCCTTCAAGAGTGGATTAATCTCTACTCAGTCTGTGTGCATCAGTTTCTTCCTGGAAGAAATCTCAATTGCTCTTAGTCCTTGCCCATCTCTCATTCTCTTTGGAGGAGCTGGGGTTACTCAGCTGAGGCTCACTCAGGCTTCTCCAGGAAGTAAGTCCACTCTCAATCCACTAACACCTCTTTATTCTGCCTGCTGGTCTAAGTTATTCCCAGCCTGGCACTCCCAGGTCTCTCTATTCACTGGATCCTGATTTCGTAGCCAGTAATCAGATCCTGGCTTAATCTGTTTGCCCTCCTAGTAGGGTCATAAATCAGATTCCCTTCATTGTCTTGCATAACAGCAGCTACAGTCCCAGCTGCAGTTGGTAAGCCGCTGATGAGCCTCACACACCAATTCTCCTGCTGGCTCCTGGGTGTCCTGCCACCACCTGGGCCTCTGAGCCTTCAATCTTGCCCTGTGCATTGCCACAGGTTGCGCAGCAGCCTTCCACTGCCTGCTCCTATCCCCTTTCCAGGGAAACCGTGTCCCAGCAGATTTTCTACCCGGTCTTCCCATTCCTCAGTCCGTCAGTGCTAGCTCCCCACACTGGCCTCAGCATGTGCCATGGAATTCCTCCCGCTCCCCTCTCTGCTGCTGCTCAGCAGGGGCCAGGGGGCTGGCTCTGGATCTTGGTAAGAAGTTCTCTCTTTTTTTTCCCCTTTGGAACAGGGTCTGTGGGTGGCTCCCTGTTACACAGCCACTTTTAAATCAACGGTGATTTTATTATTGTTCTGGGTTATGAATCACATTGTCATGTGGTACTAAATCAAATGTCTTGAAGTCTTAGTAGGTTTGGAGGGTTCTCGTATCCATGATGGCCCAGGAAATGTTTGAGAGGAAAAGGTTTTTTGTGATGTCTTTTGTTGCGCTAACTACAGTTGGGAGAGATGCTGGACCAACATGTGTCTTCACACAGCCAAATGCAGGGTCCAGGCACGGCAATCATAGGTGATGCTTCTGACTTGGTGGCTGGGTCCTGGGGTAGAGGCTCAGGGTCCCAGAAGATGATCAGCTATTTGTTGCAGTAGGTAGAGCGGGTGCAGATGTGATCCTTGGACATGGTCACAGGGGAGCGTTGACTACGAACAGGCAAACATGACCTGTCTGAGGTACTAATGAGGCTGTTGCTGGATGCTGCAGCCTAGGGTCAATGCTAAAAAAGAGAAGGCAGGCTGCTTTGAAGGGTCTGGGAAGGAGGTGCTGAGACACAGTGGAGCCTGGGAATCCTGCCATATGAGGAGGCTGAAGTGGCTCAGTTGGTGTAGCCCCCGAGAGGGTAAAGGAGGACTTGGTTGGGGCAGAACGTTCCTCAGCTTCTCAGGCAGATGAAGGCACACCGAGCCTGGGAGTCTAGAAGCTGAAGCAAGAGAAAGTTGGACCTCATGTTAGCCACAACTTGAGTGCTGATGTGGTAGATTCTCATTGTCTCACTCAGGAGCTGGGGGTCCCAAAACAGGTCTCTGGCTGGCGCTGTGCAGGAGACCAGGCTGAAGGAACTGGGCAATTCCTTCCAGTTTGGAATCTACAGATCTCTGCAATTGAAGCACTGGATCCTGACATGAGTCACTGCTGGGGTTGGAGGAACAGGGAGCGGCTGTGCCTGGAGCAGCAGATCTTCCTCAGATTGGCACCTTACCATGCCTAAACTCCATTTTTGGTAGCAGTCAAGCTTGGCAGACTCTATTCAGGATCAATTGGCTCAGTCCCTGCATCCCCCTCTTCTGCTGTCCTCTCCCTGCTCGGAGATGCAGCCTCTCTGTTCTTGGAACCTCTGGCAGTGCAGGGTTCCCTTCTTCCCATGGTGTGCTCCAGCAGCATCTGTCCAAGTCAAGTCTCATCCTGCTCCTTCTGTTTTTCACGGGGCCTATGATCTTTCCTGGGCTGTGGCCTGGCATGGGTGGGGGACGCATCCTGGCTACTTTGGCTTCCCCACAAACTGCTGCATTCCCTGTTCAGGTGAACCCGCTGCTGGAAGCCTTTGGCAATGCCCAAACAGTGATGAACGACAACAGCAGCCGCTTTGGGAAGTACGTACAGCTGCGGTTCCAGCAGAGCACAGGTGAGGCTGGAAAGATCCAGAGCTTCAGGTGTGGAACAAGGCCTGGGGGTCTAGGCTTAGTGCACGAGAACGTGGGAGCTTCTGGGGGTGGAGACGGAGCAGGGACAGTATCAGCCACAGCCTGCATGGGAGTGGACCCAGGCTTGTAGAGCAGGGCTCCTGGGGTGAGGCGGGGACTGCAGGGTGGTGCAAAAGGAGAGGAAGAGCCAGCAACTGGCACCTGGAATTTCTTGGGGGAGGTGAACAGTGTGGATGGGTCCACAGCAGGGGAGCTGGGAGTCACACCCCAGGTGTTGGCTTTGGGCAGTGTCAGGTCTGGGGGGATCAGGTGGGTGGACAGCAGGTGCAGGGCCACCTTGGCCATCTGTGCTTATCTCTGCTCCCCTGCTGGCAGTGAGGGGTGCCAAGCTGAGTGAGTACCTGCTGGAGAAGTCCCGCGTCGTGAAACAGGATGCTGGGGAGAGGAATTTCCATATCTTCTACTACATGTTTGCGGGGCTCTCTGCAGAAGAGAAAGAGATATATGGGCTGCTGGATCCTGCACGGTACAGGTACCTGGCCGCAGGCCCAGCTCTGATGTCTTGGCAGGGCTGAGGAGCAGAACTATGGGCTCCTGCAGCTCTGTGCAGGAGAGGGGGAGAGGACTTGCCTCAGTCCTGGGGCTGAGCAATGCATGGTAGGCACAGGGCTGGGGGAGTAGGGTGCTTGGTCTGGGATCTGGGGACAAGGCATAGCTTGGTCCATTGGGACTGGCATTTGATTTACCACATCAGTAATTGGGCTAAAATTCCTGTATTCAGTCGCATGCCTACAGCCAACAAGCAGCCATTTTACACAGCCATTCTGAACTGCTGTAACTGAATGCCAACCCTGTGTCTGATGCCAGTGTTACCTGCTTATCAGTGACTGCACCACACAGCAACTACAGGAACAAACATTTGATCAAGATGCTTACAGCAGGGCTAGTGATGGAGGCTCCAGGTGTGCCGTGCTGACTGACTCCAGCAGGTCCAGTTCACACCAGCGGGGGACCCCTTTGTCTCGCTCCATTTCATCTTTCTAGGCTTCTTGTTACATCATAGAATCATAGACGATGAGGGCTGGAAGGGACCTCAGGAGTCATCTAGTCCAACCGCTTGCTCAGAGTAGAACCAGCCCCACCTAGATCATCCCAGTTGGGGCTTTGTCTACCCAGGTCTTCAAAACCTCCAAGGATGGAGAGTCCACAACCTCTCTGGGTAACCTGTTCCAGCACTTCACCACCCTCCTAGTGAGAGAGTTTTTCCTAATATCCAACATAAACTTCCCTTGCTGCAGCTTGAGCCCATTGCTCTTTGTTCTGTTGTCTGCTACCATGGAGAACAGTCCAGCTCTATCTTCTTTAGAACCACCCTTTGGGTAGTTGAAGGCTGCTGTTCGGTCCCCTCCCAGTATTCTGCACACTAAATAACCCTAGTTCCCTCAGCCTCTTCTCGCGAGACATGTGCCCCAGCTCCCCAACCATTTCCACTGGACTCTCTCTAACTTGTCCACATCTTTTCTATAGTGGGGGTCCAAAACTGGACACAGGACTCCAGATGTGGCCTCACCAGTGCCATATAGATGGGAAGAATCACTGCCTTCCATCTGCTGGCAACGCTTCTACCAACGCAGCCCAGGATGCCTTTAGCTTTCTTTACTTTCCTCCAAGTTCCAGAAATGGATCAGATCTGGCCCAAAACTAAGATCTAAGCAACAGCTCTGCAAAAAAGGACCTGAGGGTGACAGTAGACAATAAGCCGAATATGAGCCAACAGTGTGCCCTTGTTGCAGAGAAGGCTAACCCTGCAAGTCCTGCTTTGTGCAGGGGTTGGACTAGATGACTCCTGAGGTCCCTTCCAACCCTCGTGTTCTATGATTCTAAAACTTCCAAACACACCTGACTTGTGATTTCCAATGCATAAAATTCCTTCTTACTTGTTTTGCCCATTCCAGTGAGTTTCACCCACCTTTTTCTCCTACATTAGCCTTTGTTGTCTGTTTCTTTCAAACTGTGGACTCCTGGAAGATTGTCCTGCTTGTATAGGATATAATAGAACATCCCATTGCCTGCTGCATAATTGCAGCATGTCTTGTGATTCTTGCACTAGGGCGCTTTGTTGGTTTGGGTCATGGGGGATTTTAACTGTTTCTGGTTCTGCCATGGATGTGCTGTGTGACCCAAGGAAATTACTGACTCTGCTCCCCATCCTCTGCCCTGTCCTAGTCTTCGTAGATGCACAGGGGGATGACAGGGGCTGGCTGTCTGTGTGGGTACAGCTCTAGCGGTTAGTAATCCCAGATGGGTATGTAGGGCCTGTAACTTGTAGTAACTTGTGTACCTGGATACATGCAAAAGCAATGTCTCCCCCCAGGTACATTGGTGGCCATTTTGGGACAGAGGCCATGACTGAATGCTGGAAGCACAAGTACCGGGAGGTGTGCAATGCCCTGGACATGGTGGGCTTCCAGGAGCAGGTGAGCACAGTGAGACCCATCAACATCCCCCTTCTCCCTTCCTCCCTCCTGCTCAGCCTGATTCCTTTCCCCTTCCCAGTTTCTGACTGCTGTCCCAGACTCACTTCAGCCAAGTTCTGCTTTTCTCTGACCTGCTCCTGTTGTTCCCAGGCAGCCAGAGGTTAGCAGATACAGTGCAGAGCCTCTCCTGCAGTGTCCTCCTGCAGTGGTGGGGGGCTGGACCCCCCCACCAGCCCCCCACCACTGGGAGGTTGCAGTTCCGCTGGGAGGTGGCTGCTGCATGCCATGTGTGTGTGTGCACGTGTATGCTTGGGCACACATGCCTGCTATCCTGAGACACCTCCCCTCTGTACTCCAGGAGCAGGTGGACATGCAGGCAATCCTGGCTGGGGTCCTGTCTCTGGGCAATGTGGACTTCCAGCCCCAGGAGAGCAATGGGGCCGTGCAAGTGGGTGAAGTCTCCCAGGGCTGGCTGAAGGCTGCAGCGGTGAGTCTGAGAGTGCGGTGAGGGGGTGCTTCCAGGCTGGCCAGGTGGCAGGATAAGTTTTGGGGATGCTTGTGCCAGGAGATGCTGTTCGGGTCTGCATGTGAGGCGCAGGTGAGTTTCCCTGTGGGTCCTTCTCTCCTCTGGGAGCTCTGTGGACCAGGGAGGACTCCTGTGCATTCACAGATGCTCTTAGGGGGTGAGGACATCTTCCAGGAGTGCCCGGATTCAGCTCTGTGACTGCTGGGCCTTGACAGCCCTGTGCATAGACAGGGGCACTTCCCTCCTGCTCTTGATAATCACTGTTTCACATGTCCCAGGGTTGCATTACCCACTGCACCACGGTCTTGCACTAAACACAGGTTGTCCATGACCTACAACAACCCCAAGTGCTTGTGTGAATTGCTGCTTTTCAAACTCACGAGAAAATTGGAGGATTGCGGGCTTAACTGCACAACGGTTAGGTGGGTAGGAAGCTGGCTGTGGGTTAGGACCCAGAAAGTCCTAATGAACGGATCTGTGTTGTCTTGGCGAGAAGTGGCCAGTATTGTCCCTCAAGAGTCAGTGCTTGGTCTAGTTCTTTTCAACATCTTTAGCAATGATTTGGATCTGGGGGTGAAGAGATCACTAGCCAAGTTCATGGGTGACACCAAGTTATGGCGGAGCTTGGTCACGCTTGAAGATAGGCTGCAGATACAGGTGGATCTAGACAGGTTGGCAAGTTGGGCAGACTGGAACCAGATGAAGTTCAACATTGACAAATGTAGAGTGCTCCATCTGGGGATGAACAATCCCCTGCACCCCTACAGACTTGGCAGTGCCAAACTGACCAGCACCACAATTGAAAGGGACCTAGTAGTAATAATAGACCACAGTATGAATATGAGCTGTCAGTGCAACTCTGTAGCCAGTAGGGCAAATAATAATCTGACATGCATCAATTGAAGCATCTCCAGCAAAACCAAGGAAGTAATTTTTATGCTTTACTCAGCATTGGTGAGACCATAGCTGGAGTACTGCATCCAGTTCTGGGCACCACACTTCAACAAGGATGCGGTAAAGCTTGAGAGAGTCCAAAGAAGAGCCACCCACATAATCAGAGACTTGCATGGCAAGCCGTACAAGGAAAGGCTGAGAGACCTGGGACTCTTCAGCCTAAAAAAGAGAAGGCTGAGAGGGGACTTGGCAGGAGCTTACTGCTACATTAGGGAAATACGTCATGGGCTCAGCAAACAACTGTTCACCAGGGCACCCTTGGGGAAAACAAGGAGTGATGGCCACAAACTCCTGGAAGACTGTTTCAGGCTTAACACCAGGAAAAACTTCTTCACAGTTAGGTTGTCCAGACTGTGGAATAGGCTCCCACCAGAGGTGATGCAGTCGTCTATCCTGGAAGTTTTCAAGAGGAGGCTGGACGGTCACCTTGCTGGGGGCACCTGACCCCAGTTGTCTTTCCTGCCTAGTGCAGGGGGGCTGGACTAGGCAGGAAAGACAACTGGGGTCAGGTGCCTTGCAATGATTTTGTGAGGTTCCTTCCAGCCTTTACAATCTATGAAACTGGTCTCCTACCTTGTTTCATAGATTTCATAGACATTAGGGGGCTGGAAAGGACCTCACGAGATCATCAAGTCCAGCCCCCCTGTCCTAGGCAGGAAGTCTGCTGGGGTCAAATAAGCTGACTGAGAGTAGGTTCAGGATAGACATCAGGAGGCGCTACTTCACAGTCAGGGTGGCCAGGATCTGGAATCAACTTTCAAGCGAAGTGGTGTTGGCTCCTACCCTGGGGATCTTCAAAAGAAGGCTGGATGAACACCTTGCTGGGGTCATTTAACCCCAGCATTATTTCCTGCCCAAGGCAGGGGGTCAGACTTGATGATCTGCTCAGCTCCCTTCTGACCCCTACCAACTATGAAATGATCCCAGCAAGATATATATCCAAATGCCTTTTGAGTGAGTCTAGAGTAGGTGCTTATAAGGGGGGTGCACCAAGGGCGTACACCAAGATCTGGGAGAACGGTTGTTTACCAGGGCTCCCCAAGGGATAACAAAGTCTAACAACCACAAACTTCTGGAAGACCGATTTAGACTGGACATAAGAAAAAACTCCTTTACAGTCCAAGTGTCCAGGGTCTGGAACAGACTCCCCCCAGAGATGGTGCAAACATCTATTCTGGACTCATTCAAAAGGTGTTTGGATGTTTATCTTGCTGAGATCATTTGACCCCAGCAGATTTCCTGCCTATAGCAGGGAGGCTGGACTTGATCTTGTGAGGTCCCTTCCAGCTCCTAAAGTCTATGAAATAGGATGGGAAACCAGTTTCATAAATTCATAGATTGTTATGTTGCCTGCATCCTCACTCCCAAGTGCATTGCCCTCCAGCTGGTTATGCTAAGGCACATTTTGGCAGATCATGATCATCTCACCAGGCCATCCAGATCAGTCCATGATAGTTATCCCCATACTCCTCAGTATAGGCTATCTGCTGACCTGCATGTTTCACTAACAGAGATTTTACATCATTCTCTAGAGCAGTGCAATCTTTTTTCATTTGTGGACCCCCTAAAAAATTTCTAATGGAGGTGTGGACACATACTTTTGATTGATCATAGTCATCTGTCGTGGATGCTGTAGATATAATCTGTGGTGCCCAGGAGTCTGTGGAAAACCACTGCTCTAGAGCATGGAACAAGACTGCTCAGTTGTATCAGATTGTGAGCTGATCCCAGGGATATGGCTGGTGGGCCTCCCCCCGCCCAGCATCCCCTCCAAACTTCTTCTGAGTCTTGTCACTGGTCCATGGTCTATGCCCGTTCCCGTCTCTGCATCATTTCCCATGCCTGGGACATCCACCCCTGCCCCATTCAACAACCAGCCTCTTCTCTTTCAAAAGCCTCTGGAGCTTGCTCCAACCAGGCACCCATGGAAGGGAGTTCCCGGAAGCAAGTGCTGGTGGGTTCAGCTCCTCTCCCCAGTTTGCCGTGCACTCTGGCTCCTGGAGTTTAGTGATCGGGCTCTCAGGACAAGGACAGTGCTGCACACAGTCCCAGTCTGCTTGCTGCCAAATCAGCCATAGAAAACTGCATCAGGGATAAGGCTGAGTCCCCTGGGCAGTGGGGCCTGGCAGCACGTGGGTAACAACGAGGAAGACAGGGCATACGTGCACGGTTCTTGGGGATGGCAGTGATGATCTGGCCCTGGGTCCCCAGGTGCCATGCTGGCACGGTGGTGTTTGTTACAGCAGAGCCAGGGGTCCCTGGATGGGTCATGGCCCCATTGCTCTGGGCACAGTACAGACATGGGGAGGCACAGTCCCTCTCCACCAATGAGGACCGATGCTGATGGCCCCATTGTCTTTCCTCTCTCAGGGACAGTTTGGTGTCCAGGAAGAGGAGCTACTGAGCTGCCTCATTCGCACAGTATCTGTGACCCGGGGGGAGCAGATTCAGCGGCTCCACACGCAGCAGCAGGCAGAGGGTAAGCGCAGGCGCCAACAGGGAGGTAGCACGAGAGCCCTGGGGGGCACGGCCCTGCCCTCCGTGGCCCTGGACTAGTGCGGAATGGCCCTGGGACCCTGCAGGCCTGTCCTTTGGAGCAGGAACTGCATTGCTGCCTGTCTGCACGGCCCCTGTCAAATGGGTCCCTGCCCTGAGAGGGGCCTGGAGGGCTTAACAGGGCTGCACGTGCACTGCTCTGTGACACCAGCATAAGCTTGGCATTCCTGCTGGGCCTGGCCAGGGCCATGTTCCAGCTCCATGTCCCCTGTGAAATCAGGGACCTGGGCCGGATTGTGGCAAGCCAAGGTGGAGAGGGAGGACTAGCTCCTTCAGCATCATCCCTTGTTGTCCAGCCCTGCTACCCTTGGGCCAGGCCATGGTGGAGCCCTCGGGCTGTGCCGTCATGCCCAGAACCAGTCACTGAGGTGAGGAAGTCGTTTCCATCCACCATAGTCGGAGTTTTGTCGCGGAGTTCAGCTGTTGCAGCTTGTTTTGTGGAAAGCTCCTTATGTGGTTGACCGAGTGGCCTGGCCCAGCCTAGAGCATCTGAGCAGCCTCAGAGCAGAGGGCTTCTTCTGAGGGCTGTGGGTTCAACTGGGCTCCTAATGCACCAGTGATAGTCCCACAAGGGCTTTGTGACCTGCCCCTGGGTGTCAGCCCTCAGCAGGGATGGGGTGAACCAGCCAAGCCTCTTGCACAGTGGGGTTTGTCTCTCCCCAAGCGTGGGGCTCTGGGGCCCGAGGGGGGCCAGGTGTACTGCAGGGGGTAGGCCTGCCAGCTGCCAGGTGAAGTCCACCTGCTCTGTCCCCAGATGCCCGGGACTCCATTGCCAAGGTGGCATACGGTCGTGTGTTTGGCTGGATCGTCCGCAAAATAAATGAGCTGCTGGCCGAAAGTGTGGACCCCCATGTAGAGCTGAGGGAAATCGGTGAGCTTGGGGTCTTGCTGGGTCTGCAGCTGGTTCATGAGTTGAGGGCACGATGAACTTGGTGCGAGCGGTGTGTGAGGAAGAGGGGTGCAAGATGGTGACATCATGGGGCAGGGAGATGGGAGGCAGGTCCCAATGTACAAACTGGCTGCAGGTGTCTGCAGTAGGGTTAGGGTTCATGGGGGCTTGGCCCCCAGGGCCGTGGCAGGGGCTAAGCCAAGGCTGGTCTCCATCACTACCCCCATCCTCCCCAGGGATTCTGGACATCTTTGGGTTTGAGAACTTTGTGGTAAATCGCTTCGAGCAACTTTGCATCAACCTGGCCAATGAGCAGCTGCAGCACTTCTTCAACCATGTAAGTCTGGAGAGGGGCACAGCAGGCACCTTACAGCAGGGATCTCACTTGTGGCACTGGGGGGCAGGAGTGGTGACCTTGTCTGGGGGGAGCCTTGCTTTGCCTTGGGGCCAGGCACAATGACCACGTCTCACTCCTCCAGGGCTCTACTGGGGTCACCCCTGATGAGGGCCAGCACCAGGCAGCCACACTAGGGGTTAGCAGGAACAGTCACTCTGATGTACAGGGGTACCCAGGGGTTGGGGGGAGAGGGGAAATCACCCAGTTGAAGTCTGCTCGTGCTGCTGGGAGCTCTGACCTGTCCCTTACCCCTCAGCACATCTTCCAGCTGGAGCAGGCCGCCTACCGGGAGGAGGAGCTGCCCTGGGAGACCATAGCCTTCAGCAACAACCAGCCCATCCTGGTGAGTGACCCAAGCTGGGCTGGGCACAGGAGGGCCCCAGAAGCTGCAGAAGGAGGCCTCTTGCTGCAGCTCTGTGCTGAGTGCTGCCCTGGGGGCAGGCTCTCCATGCATGCAGGGGCAGGGATGGGAGCAGGGGGAGGGTTTGCTAAGGGCCTCATGTCTTTGCTTCCCATGCTACAGGACCTGCTCCTGGCCAAGCCGCTGGGGCTACTCTCTCTCCTGGATGAACAGAGCACATTCCCGCAGGTACGACCCAGGGCCTGGAGGCAAACGGGGTCAGAAGAGATGTGGCACAGGCTGCTCCAGAGTAGTAGTTCTCAAACTTTTTTGTACCAGGACACATTTGTAAACATCAATGGTCAGTCCTGACCTGGTGCCCGTCACTCCCAGCCTCATGCCCCAAGTGCATGGAGTAGGGCATGGGTGTATGGGGAATGGAGGGGCCCAACAAGCCCCTCACAGGCTGGAACTCTGCCAGCCTGCAAGGGACATACCACATTTTTATCCTGTAAAGGAGAATCCATTTTTAAAGTTTGTTCATGACACTTTCATATATTACAACCCACTTTTGGGTTGCAACCCTCGGGTTGAGAAACACTGGTCCAGAGGACGTCTGAGGGATAATAGTGGCCTTGTCTGCAGAGGGTGTTGGTGCTGGAGGGGTCTGGAAGAGCTGAGAGAGCTGAGGTGCTGCCGCCAGTGACTGGCAGCAATGCTGGAGAGTCAGGCAACCCAACTGCAGACCAGCCAAACAGTGCTCTGCTTGGCCGAGTCCCCCAAGCTCTCACCTCCTCTCTTCCAGTGCACGGTG